ATTCAGTTGGGTTGCAGTAAGATTAAAATGCCTCCCGAAATTATCCTGATTAAAACGGCAGTCTAAACAGATGAAGAAGATGGAGTGGACTTTTTTAAATTTTGTTTCAAGTCACTTTCTGAACACGAGAACAAACGATATTAAAAGTGTAGTTGGCGAGTCAGTTAGAAAGCTTAAAATCAGTCTGAAAGTTTAATGATCCCTGTGGGGAAAACAGACCGTACTGCATTGCACACATCAGAAACCACATAGTGTTTACTATTAAATTAATTAATTAAAAAGTAATTATGATATAAATAATAATAATAATAATAATAAAAAAACTGTATAAAATATATAAATGACACAATATTTCTTGAAATAATTTATAATTTTTTTAACTTTCTTATAATGAAATGTTATTTCATGTCGCTAATTCTCATTCAGTTCATTTTCATTAAATGATAGAATTTTTTATCTTTTCAAAAGTCCTTTTTTTAATTGGATAGTTACATTTTTCCCACTGACACTTTTATTTAATCTTGCATTAGAGTGGAGTTGTCAGCAGCCGTCGCCCTCTCACCTTTCAGCCAATCAAATCCCCCCTACCTCTCATAATTAAGCTAGCTCAACAATTGCTATCCAATTAAGCTCCAAGCCCCCAGGAGGTGCACTAAGCTTTGAAGCCAATTCGAGACAGTAACCAAACCGTGTAATGACAACGTCACGTGATGAACAGCGGTCCAAAAAGTATTTTTCCCATATGCCTACACTGTGACAGAAGCAGCTGTAAAATGGTGGATAATTCTTTTGACCCACAACCCCCACAAAATGACTTTCACTATCAGAATTTGATCCATTCAGTCCAATAACATTTGGAAAGTCTAGAAAAGCCACTCTATTAAATCATTTTATCCCCATTCAAGTTAGCAGAGGGCTAAACTAGAACATAGCACAGAGATAGCAACTAACCTCTCCTTTAGTTTAACTTAAAAAGGCTGCACATGCTAACTACCAAGCTAACTAGCTGGGCTGGGTTGTGAGCTTGGATGAAGAGCCAGTGTTAGCAGTGTTAGCTGACACTGACTAGAACAACAATGTCAAAGTCATTCTGAACAGATATCAGCAGCAATAGCTAGCTGGTTAATTCAGGGTTGGCTCAGTAGCATTTTGATTCTATAAATGTTCTTCAGAGAAAGACACACACTCTGACAGCCAGTCTGTCTCTGTGGTCGCTCTCGCCAACAGGAGCGAGCTAACACTGCTAACACTGTCACCTCACATCCCTGCTTGGTCAAGAATGCTAAAATAACATTCTGAGGTTGAGTTTTGATGATTTCGTCAATCATTTCACTATTTATTGGTTCATGTATACAAATCACTCATATGGTTTATTTCACAATGTCTTTTCAATTTATTGAATATTGAACAATGTGGCCATAGGCTATCTAAAAAAAATGGAAAATTGTGCCTTTCTGAATCAATAAGGTCACCGCCATCAGGAGCAGTTTTAGCCCTGAACGGCATTAGTGGACCATCAACAATAATCGGTGTTTCAAAGATTTGAATGTTATGTTCCACCTCAGGATGACATCTACCATTTGGAACTTTCCCTACCTACTGTGTAAATGTAATAAATCGTTCAATTAAAGAGCTAAAATGACTACTGTCAAATGTAATTTGTCCTCCGGTAACCAGAAGTCCCTGCTGCTGGCTACATGAGTCATTCTTCTTCTTCTTCTTTTTCTACTTCCCAGTCACTGTCAACCTCATCTTCCCCCAGCCACACCATTCAGAACACAAGGCATCTTTCTACAGGGCTAACAACCCCCTACTGGCACTACTAACAGCATGTAACACACGCACACACACGCACACACATGCACACACGCACACAGGAGAGAAGAAGATTATGACCACAGGGACTTTCCTGTCCCTCCCAGATACTGGCCAGACATGCTACGCTGACAGTAGCGGGATCCCAGGGGTCAGTAACCGTTAACAATACTAGCAACCAGAGACCATGCCAGCGATACACATAACCAGATTAACATGGACAAGAATAGAGGCCAAGATGCGGGTTACCACCTTCTCCAGCAAGGAAGTGAGTGTGTTGTTTGAGTCATTAATGGATTAGTTGAGGATACAGTCACAGGAAAGGAAGCCACAGACAGAACGAGAGTCTTGGATATTTTTGGCTGCAGCACAAACACACAGGGACTTAGCAGGTACGGAGGCCGCATGTGCATACACCAAACACACACACAGCTAGATGCACACTATGAATGTGACAGCCTGACCAAATCAATGTCAATATTGACACTTCTAGAATTAGGCCTCTCATGAAAAAATGAATAAATGCATGTGGGTTTCCTTCCAGACACCTGGTTTCTCAGGACTTGCAGTCATTTACAGTCACAGCTCAACCCAGGATGAACAAGTGGACACATAGAACAAGATCAACACAGATGGGATGCCCAAAACATACTGTTGCTGTGTTATTTGAGAGCAAAAATACACACAAAATGAGTGGGTTGTGAGCCTTTTTTTTAACTTAATGTTTAATAAATAATACTAATGGAAATTTACTCAGAATCATCAACAAAGTTTTATCTTGTTTCAAAAAGTTGTTTCTGTGTCATGGCCTATAAAACGAGACGGCTTTTTAAAAACTTAACTCCAGAAAGTGTCCTTTTATTCATTTAATTATTAAATCATTCCATCTTGATGCCAGGAAAACTTGGGATTCATTTTTTGACCCCTTTGCTAGTTGCTCAAAACAGCATTGCACGTCTTATTTGCCTCAAAATGTTGCCTCATGTATCACCACCCTGCAGACACGGCCCACATTGGCTCTAGTAAATGCCCAATGGATAGCAGCAGCCAGATAGACGGCATCAAAGCTGCTTAACACAAAGACTTATTATTGCTGATGTAAGCTGAAAAATGGTTTGAGATATGCAAATGAACTATAGCCTATATTTCCTTAGACAGCTTGGGCACTTGAATTATTGAGAGGGCGACATGTCTTTATGTTAATTATTTATCTTTGTTGAAATCGTCACCATCATCATGCTGCCATTATAAAACTACCAAAATACCATCATCATCATCATCAATATCAAAACTACCACCATACCATCATCATTCTTCTCTCAGACACCATTATCATCGGTATTATCAAACTACCACATCATGATCTTCATAACAACTACATTATCATCATCCTTGTGATCATCAACTACCACCACATGTCACCATCACCATCGTCATTCTGCTGCTCCTCCTCATCATCATTCACCGCCATCACCAGCATACCACCAACACCAATAACAACCAGTCAAACTATATTTGTGAAGTGCCTTTCATACAGATTAGTGCAAAGTGCTTTGCAGATGACTGACAAGCTGATAATAGGTCTGTGCAAATATAATGTCATGTGGCTGTAAAACAATTTGCCTATTTTTTTTTGTCTTTATTAAACAAAGACGATGCAGAAAAACATTCATCTCAAAACGAGAAGATTTGATTTATGCCATTATTAGCTATTAGCTCATTTCCATCTGCAGTCCCTGGGCAGGTACAAACAGAGCAATCGCCAGACACTAAAACCATCCATGTACTCTCTACACTGAGCTCAGGCAGCTCAGGAGCACGTTCAGCTACAGACTGACCCAGCCCCGTGCCTCGAAGCGGTTTGGAGGCTTGTTTGTACCATCAGCCATCAGACTCCACAACGCCACAGCACCCAGTACCTCCAACCCCCGCTGACCAAGCCTGGTTTAAAACTCCTACCTACAACGCACAAGCCTTTTGCACTATTTATATTTAATTTCCACTTTAGTAGTTTAGTAGTTTTTTAGTTCTAGTCAAGTTTAATTTTCTGCTTATAGTTCGCAGTCCATATCCTACTTGAACAATGCATAGTGCATATACTTTAATTTATAGTTTTATATCTTCTAATATTAATAATATTAGTAATATTTTTATTGTGATATTCTTTCTCTGTTTTTGCACTATTTTTGCCCTATTGCTGCTGTGTCAACCTGAATTTCTCCTAAGGGGGATAAATAGAGGAATATCTTATCTTATCTTATCACACTAACCATTATACAAAGAAATCTACAGGCACGCACCAACATATAACAGCAGCACATTCATCCAGTAAAACTATACAATTACAATTCCTCTTAAAAATGCCCAGGAGAAACTGATATGATAAAAATATCAGGCATCATCATCAAAACTCCCAGCACTACCATCATCATCACTAAAGAGGAGCATTCAAATATAATCTCACCATCTCCATGAAGAAAGGAGCTCTAATCTCAATGAGATAATGAATCCAACTACCTCGCAGAGTCCACTGTCCATACAGATTCTATTTGGTTGCAATTCCCTCCATTTCCTCTCCGTGCACCCTGACCCGGGTGCGCAGTCCCTCCGTACCCTGACCCCAATCTCATCCCCCCCATCAACGGCCACCGGCTTCTCCCCCAGCGCGGTCCACCGTACGGCTCACGGAGGGGTTATACCCCTGCAGCTTTTGGGGAAATGTCACTCGCCGTTTTTCCACCGAGGCTCTCCCTCCAGCAGAGCAGCGGAGACTGTGCGCCGGATAAATGCTTAATTGGATCGGCATGGAAGGCGTCTCCCGGACCGGGGCAGAGCTCTGCGGTGTCGCACACACCTGAGAGAGACCCCCGGTCATGCATGGCTGTCTGGTGTCCGGGAGATTCCTCCGCGGTCTTCTCCCTGAGCTATACCATCACTTTCACGCTCTCCCGTTCACCTTCCTTTACGCACGCACGCACCGATCCGTGCAAATTACACCACCCGCTGCAATTAACGGAACTCTTGCACCTCACATATCTATACACACTTCTTACACACCGACTGTCTCCTGTCACACACACACACAAACACATAAACACACAGGCTCACATATGGTATTAAGAGGAACTAAAAGAAACAGAATAAATGCATAATAAATGAATAGTAATAACAACAGTAATACACACGTTGTTTGTGTCTTCTCACCGGTTCGATACTCTGGAAGAAGCCCAGGTCAGGATCCGTTCATTCATTCATTCACTCATCCTGTTCTCATCTATCTGTTCATCCTTCCCTCTGTTCCGTTCCTCATTCAGCGGCTGAATAAAAGGATCCTCTCCTCTGAAGCGGCGGCGGCGGCGACAGAGCACGCGCACTTTACCCGATGGCTCACTCGCGCGCTCTTGCGCCCTCCCCAGTCTCTCTCTCTCTCTCTCTCTCTCTCTCTCTCTCTCTCTCTCTCTCTCTTTCTAGTGCAGATCGGAGAGAGGGAGATGGAGACTGGGGAAGGATGAGCCGATGTGCGCAGGAGTGGAGGGATAAGGCAGAGAGCGACGGCGGCTATTAGCTACTGTGTGTGTTTGTGCCTGTGTGTGAGTGTGTGTTGGGCACGGGATGAATGTGAACCAGAGGAGCGTGCACTCCCAGCAGCATCACCCCTGCACTGATAAACACGGGGTCATTGGAGGGAGAGAGAAGAGAGAGGAGAAGAGATGTAGAAGTAAAACTGTGAGCTGAAAAGCTACAGAGGTGAAAAAGAAGATAACTATATAAAAAAAAGATGGATGGAGGGAAGAGCAAAGTTTGGGCCTTTTACAAGTTCAGCAATTACTGACATTATCAATTATTTCCTCCATTAATTGTTTACCCTATGAAATGTAAAAAAATTTAAATAAAAAAAAACCCAGAAGGATGCTACTTTTGTCTGATGATGGTTCCAAAACTCCAATATATTACATTCCCAATGATAGAAAACAAAGAAAAGCAGCAAATTCTCACATTTGAAGAGCTAGAACCAAAACTGTTTGGGATTTCTGAAAAGTGACCACGGCTAATGGTGGTCAGGGCCTGTAGCCACAGTTTTTTGGGTGCGTTTCGCAGCGTTGGCACCAGTCGGGACCCTTGTCTGTGGCTCTTCCGGCCAAATGAGCATGTTGATTCGGCAGCAGAGGCCATTGGTGAAAGAAATCAGTCTGATTGGCTGTTCAGTTTAAGCAAATCAGTGCATGAGAAGATAAACGGAAATGAGCAAAGCAGCAAAAGGCACGCATAAAGGATAGTCGGTGCGTTCTAGTGTCACTTTTTGGCCAAGACACAGACAACATGAGGTGAGGCGGCTTTTGGCAAGGCACTGCGGCTATCTATCTAATAAAAGCATCAAAGGATTAATCAATTATCAAATCAGTTGCTGATTAAATTGACTAATCTTTTTAGCCCTACAATTAAAAACATGGTTTTAGGAAAAGACATCAGAGAACAGGTCAAAGGTTTCACCAGAGACCTAAAGTACGTTGTTTGGATGGGAATTTATTTGCATATTGGATAAGTGTTGTTCTGCCACAATTTACCTCTAGAGGAGGAGGCGAAGAAGGATAGCCTCCGATGAGATCAGGGGGTGAGGCGGTGAGAGATGGATGAGGTAGACAAAAGGCAGTTAGAACATTAAAGTGGACAAGGAGAGAGACGAAAGAACAGAGGAGGAAAGGAAAGGATGGAGGCCCGAGAGGAGAGAAAGGGAGGGGGGAGACTGGAAGGTGATGGGTGGGACGGGTGCTGTGGAGATGGGAAAAGGAGCGGGAGGAAGGGGAGAAGTGCTGGAGTCAGTGTAAATAATGAGAGAGAGGAGAGGAGTGGTTTTACATTATCCGTCTTTTCGACACAGTTGATCAGAGTTCTGTCTCCGCATGAAGCATGGCCTTTACACCGCAAGCTAATTCACACCCCGAGGGGACATCTCTCTCACACACACACCCACCCCCACACACACACACACACACACACACACACACACACACACACACACACACACACACACACACACTGATACACTGAGAGAACACAACCACCCATGTCCAAATGCATTCCAGCTAAATGCTTAACTGCAAATTCATATCTGGACAAACAAACCCATTTTCATGCACATGCACACACAACAGTACAAAATATGCATGAGAGAACAACACACACAAGCACGTGCGCAGATATACAGATGCCAACACATCCACTGCGCCCACACAGATTTCTATTATAGCTTCTGCTGAGAGTAAAGTCTAGAAATGAATAGAACTGAGGATTCTGTGAATGGTTGTGCATGTTAAAGCGTTTTATTAATGAATAACATGGTGGCCTTTGTTTGGAATTGGGGAAATATTCTTCTTCAGAATAATTACAAAGACAAATGTAATACATTCTCTTTCATCTCTCTCGCAGTCTTCTGTATTTTTGTTCTTGTCAAGAAAACCCATGAAAAGACCAAAACCAAACGTCTGTTAGTCTGTCTCTATCTTTTCTACCCTGTCTGTGGCCGTACGCAGCCCCAAACGCATTAGTTCCTACTGAAAATGTAAATCTTATCAAACAGACCATATATTTTCATCTTTACAATGGGCTGAATAATTCACTAAAACAGCTGTGCTGTAGTTTTGAGCAAACATTACTCAAATGGGAGTTGTTGGGGATTAATTTCAGCTGCAAATGTGGTGCTCTAGTGAGCATTTACTTCAACTCATAATAAACTACAGTGCCCGAGTTCGTGAAAGGAACAACAGTGTGGCTCACTAATGTGTTTTGAATCGTTTTTGGACAGCGATGGAACTCTGCGGTACAGAAGAATGAGCTGTATCAGGCTTTGGATATACAAACAATACTTGTTAGGCTCTATTCACTGTTATCCTTCAAACGGCTGAAAAGAACAAACAATCATCTGACAGATTCTCTGTTAGACTTGATCAATCTGTCATGTTCACAAGATAAAGTCTGCGGAGGGAGGAAGTCAGGGTGGATGGATGGGTCAATAAAACGTTGAACATTAACATTAACATGCTGTTTAATTCCTGTTTCCTACAAACAGTTAGTGCCTTCTTCTTTTAACCATGGATGACCCTAACCTGCCCCTAAGCCCTATCGATGGAACCCAACCTTAACCATAGTGGTAATCAGAAAGTGTTTTTATGTCTTACTCTGGAGAGCAAGGACCACCTGGTGTATTTTGTAGGTTCATTTGGAGGACTTTTTGGGACGTCTATTGAACGTAGAAGTCTCACAAAGAAGCCTTCACTCCAGTGACACAACTCGTATCATAAGTAACTGGCAAATATTCTTACCATAGTGTGAGTCTCTGAGGAATGTACATCACTATAAACAAGCATCTAACACTCACAATGAAGACATGATCCGTGTCTGTTTCTGAAGGATCAAATGCTAGCTGATGAAGAAAGAATAAAGTTTTCAGGCACTGTACCAGATTCCTCATATCTTCTATTCAGATTACTGGAACTCTGCCACATGCCACCCCTCGCTCCCCGACTCTGCTATACTTCCTCCTCTCAGCAGCAGCATCAAAGCATCACAGATTCAGTGCCTATTAACCCTCCCCCATCTCCTCGTAGCGCGCGTCTGCCTGCCTGCCTCACTACTATATTGCCAAACAAACCACAACGATATCTTCAGAGAAAGCTACATTTCTACCCAGTTTCTATGGCAATGAGAGAATAAGCAGAGCCTTCTGTCTTACTACTGTAATATAGCTGAAAACGACGACTATAACACAGTGCATAGGCGTCTTCGAAAGGCTAGAGGACAAATGCTGTTCTCCATGAAATATTAAGTTGGTTCTTTAGCTTGAGACTCGTGAAAACGGTGGCACATTGGTTACAGTTCTACAGTGTAACAGGATGATTCAGTATTTACATGTGATCTTAATGTGGTTTATTACAAAATTAGTCTAAAAAATACGTAAAACATAAACCATTTGGTTCGAAAGCCCATGTATACACACACACACACAATTTCAGAAAAGGCCAACTTTCTAGAGACCATATTTCATTTTAATATTTCTACAACATTACCCACTTTGTTACTGCGCTCGAGCAAACTAGCTCTAATTAGAGATTGAATGTGAACAATGTAACACTCTTTTTGCCCTTTAAGCTCTCTTGCACCAGATGCTCACAGCATAGCTTTGCATTTCAGCAATGAGTAAAAACAGCCATCTGATCACAAGCTAATGGTGGAGTACATTTCACACATACAATAGCCTGTGGGTACGTGGATCTGTGGGTTCAGGTTCGAGACCCTTTGCGTACGAGAAAACGTACCGTGAATAAGTTATCATGTTATTAATCTTTCATGACTGAATCTCTTTTATTGTGAAGTAACCGTGCAATACAGATATTACTTCAGAAATACCCTATTTAAATTAGCCAAGGTCAGACTAATTTTGAGTTGAAGCATATTAGTTGGAATCAAGATGTCAGCAGCCTTCCAAATGTCCATGCAGATACAGACAGACTCAAATCCAAATTCTTAAGTTACCTAAAATGAATAAGATTAGGAAAATAAAAGTAGGAAATCAGGTTTCCTTTGGTTGCAGGGTATGACACCTGTATTGCATTTTTCAGTAGGGACACTTTGTAACAGCGGTAGTTTTCAAGCTGCCTTTGGACGGACTCCCTGGATGAACAATACATGCTGCTCACTGTCATGTATTCCAAAGAATTTGGCAGACAAACAGTTGGCGCGGCACAAAAGCCAGTTAAAAACTAGGTTAGGTCTTCTTCACACCAATTTGTCCCCTGATGGTGTTTCCTTACATGAGTCCCCTTTGTTGACGATATAAGTTGATCTACACTGGCTGCATTCAGTGTACCTAACAGTTAGCGGTTGCCACTGTATTGTGTTCAGAAATGTAACATGTGTTTCCTATTCGACATGCACTTATTCTATTGTAGGGAGGATTACTTAGAATATTACAGTGTCAACCAAATGCTCCAGTTAGAGCAGGAAATCGTTGGTGTAATGTGCAGCTCAGTGTGACTGTCTTTTCACATTTTACACATATTTAGATTTTGAATTAGTGTCTTTAGATGAGAAAATTGACACCACTCTCATGTTTGTGCGCTAAATATGAACCTACTGCCAGAAGCCGGTTAGCTTAGCTTAGCATAAAGACTGGGAACAGGAGGAAACAGCTAGCCTGTCTCTGTCTATTAGTAACAAAATTGGGGACAACCCATTTTTCCAAGGGCCTGAATTCCGAAAAAATTCCCTTTTGTTCGACAGTCAGTTATCCTGAAAACAGAAGCCCGCTGCTCCAATGGCCCCTTTTTCCAAAAATACACTAAAATGCATCTCTAACTCTTGGCAAAACAGCAAACAATTTTCCAAAAGTCAATCAATTCCTTCAGATCCAGTGTGTAACATTTAGGAGGATCTATTGGCAGACATTGAATATAATATTCAGGTAT